AAATAAAACATATCTGGTTTCATGGAGATCCTTTGTAGTTTCTACAGTAGTTCTGACATTTCATTCTATCTGAATTATTCCACTATGGAATTAAATGTTGACTAACATGATTTTATGCCTATGTATATGACTTGAAAGGACTTTTTTGAGAAAAGCACAACAGAAATAACACATGTATTTACTGAATCTGAATTTTTGTGTATTATGAGTTGTATTACTATAACAGCAATATAATATTATGCAAACATAATGTGCACTTTAGTTAACAAAAATTGTCCATCACTTCACTGTAAAGGAACTGGGGTTATACATTTGAGTAATTTCAAGTGATTTCATCACACAATCTTGTGCCTGACCTGATACTGAAGTTAACTGCAACCTTGTTGAAGGAATGAATGTAATACATTTAAATTTAATAAATAAATGGGAGAATGTCTACAGTCTTTTCAAAAATTCCCCTCATGACTTTATTAAAAAAAAACACTGAATGTTTTTTTAAACAGCTTTTTTCAGCAGCTTCAATTTATTGCTGTCATTCTACCACTAAATGTGATGCCAACTGAGGAATCAAATTATCCCTTCCTTTTCTCTTCAGAAAGATCAAGAGATATTTGAGTAGAGACAGAAGATACATCAAGAAATGGAGAAAGGACTGAAAATCCAAACTGTGTAAATAAAGTCTATTTGCATAATCTTAATTTAGTAATTTGTCTGGACTATACAACTCCCTTATGCTTTTGGATAAACTGTGTACTGTAGGTAGACCTTGCTTCATAACTGCCCTGGTTAATGACCATTCAAAGTTGCAAAGGCACTGAAAAAGTAATTTTACAACTGGTCCTCACACTTATGACTATCACAGTATTCGCATGGTCAGGTAATCAAGATTCAGGTGCTTCACAACCAACAGGTATTTTTAACCATTCTGTGGTCACATGATTGCTTCTCAACTGACTTCTGACAAGCAGCAGTAACACTGCCCATCATCATCACACGATGTCTCACTTAACAATTTAAGGTAATTCCCTTAATAACTGCAGTGGAAGTGGGAATGTAAATCTGTCAGTTTCACTTGATACTTGATGTCTTCCTTGACACTTTGCAACAGAGTTCCCTGTCTTTGTTTTGGTCATAGAAAGACTACCTGTAATTTTAAAATATTTTACTAATGGCAGCAACAAAAAACAGGATAAAAAAAATCAAGCATTATTAATATTTGTTATATTCCTGGAAGGAACCATCTGGAATCAAAACACATTCATAAAGGTATAAGTGAAGGCAGGAAAAGCAAATTTTATTTGATTTATATTAATTAAAATTACATTTAGATGTCACTATTACTGTCAGCCACATATTTTGGATTTTGGAGTCCTAGTGGACAATCACTTAAATATGAGCCAGCAGTGTGCTGCAGCTGACAAAAAAGCCAACACAGTGCTAGGCTGCATTAACAGAGGGATAGAATCAAGATCACGTGAAGTATTAATACCAATTTACAATGCCTTGGGCCACACTTGGAATACTGCATCCAATTTTGGTCACCACGATGTAAAAAAGATGTTGAGACTCTAGAAAGAATACAGAGAAGAGCAACAAAGATGGTTAGGGGGCTGGAGGCTAAAACATATAAGGAACGGTTGCTGGAATTGGGTATATCTAGTTCAGCAGTATCAAACTGCCGGCCCACGGGCCGGATGCATCATCCGGAAGCCACACCCACCTCATTGCCAGCAATGGCAAAACCGTCCTGATACATTGTGCGATGTCACATGACACCGCGAGTTTGACATGTCTGGTCTAGTTTAATTAAAAGTAGGATGAGGGGGGACATGATAGCAGTGTTCCAATATCTCAGGGGCTGCCACAAAGAAAAGGGAGTCAAGCTATTCTCCAAAGCACCTGAAGGTAGGACAAGAAGCAATGGGTGGAAACTAATCAAGGAGAGAAGCAACCTAGAACTAAGGAGAAACTTCCTGACAGTTAGAACATTTAACCAGTGGAACAACCTGCCTCCAAAAGCGGTAAATGTTCCAACACTGGAAGTTTTTAAGAAGAGACTGGACAGCCATTTGTCTGAAATGGTATAGGGTTTCCTGCCTGAGCAGGGGGTTGGACTAGATGACCCTCCAAGGTCCCTTCCAACGTTATAATTATTATTATTATTATTAATTATATTTAACAGAGCAATTCACCAGGATTTATCTTTTTGAGACATTTTCTCTCGCAAAGTTGCATTAGTCTGCCTTGAAGCAGTAAAATGGCACATGGACTTGCATCACTAAGTTTTATGAATGTGGGGCTCTGTGTCTCATTCCTTTTATGTCAAGCGTTTCTTTGCCTGCACAGTGACCCTATTATTAGCCAGCATAGCAAAGTGATGTGGCTACTCTAATCTGCTAATTAGAAGTATTGTATTGGTTTGCAGTTTTAAGGGGCAATTTATTTATCCTGCCTTACTTTATAAGTAACACAAGGGGGTAACATATCCAATATTACTTCCTCCTATTTTCTCCACAACTACCCTGTGAGATGGTTGGGGTGAGAGAAAGTGATTAGCCCATCATCTAGCCGGCTTCATTCCTAAATAGGAACTAGAACTCATAATCTCTTGGTTTCTCGCTTGGTGACTTAAGCACTAGACCAAGTTGACTCCCTTTATGCAACCTTAAGTATTTAACATTTAACATTTTTCTTCACCTGCTACATTAAAATTAAAAAGCAAAATACTGGAATGGTATTTATGATCCTAGCACTTCAGTTGTGCTTCTTGTAGTAAAGGAAGAACTGCAATTGAGTGCTAGGACACAGACCTTGTGGGGGGAAAAATAGGAATGATCTGTGGCTTCTTCAGAGAGGGAGGGAAACAATTCCTTTTAAAAACTATAGAAACAAGTGCAAGTATGAACTGATCATGAATGGGTTATTGGGCTACAATTTGCAGATACTATGTCTGAGAAAAAGTGTTTCTTGAGTTGCTGTGAAAAATTATGTATATCAGAAGTTGGCAATCTGGTGTCCATCTAATATTATAGACAGCTACTTGCAGTCACTTCTCATAAAATATGTTTGATATCGCCTGTCGTGGACCACATTGACTGGGGCTGATGAAAATCAAAGTTAAGAACTAAAAGAAATCCCACGTGTATCTTTGTGCTATTGTTCCAAAGGGAACTTGTGGCATGCATATTCCAATATCTAATCTTATTGCTGGAATTTTGTAGATCAATTTCTTTTGTAGTCTTTCCATAATAACACCAGAAGAAGTTTAGCCTGAAACGTGATAATTTTGACTTTTTATAAAGGGACCTTCTAAAACTATTTTCTTCTTTGACCTCCTCTAGAAAGTAAAACAAATCTGATATATTTATTTATTCCCAAAAGCTATCATTCCAGGTAAGTCAGTTTTACTTCCATGTTGGTGACATGGTATTGAATACAGCTGAAAGGGGACAATGGCATCTCTCCATCTCCTATTTTTGAGCAACCTAGAGACATTTGGTTGGCAACCGTGAGCAACAAAATGTGAACTAAGATAGGTCTTGGTGTGAGCAGGCAGACAATTCCTATGTTCCTTGGTGCACGTGTCCTCTATGCATGCTCTTATGGCCTATTGATTTTTTTTTTTTTACCTCAGGATACATTTAAAATATAGATTTTGATTTTAGCTAGTTTTGTTCATTGAATACTATTTTTTTTGCTGAATGTTAATGTTATTCATGCAGTTAAAAAGCATTAGCAACTTTGGTTGATTTGTTTGTTTTGTTTTCAGAAGCCAGCAGCACCCTCACAGTATATATAAGCATAAACATTAGCAAAGAACAGCACATTTCTTTGGCAGGCAAAGTAAAAAGAAAAAGTCAAATCTGTTGAGTGATGATGCTGGAATATAATTTCTTACAAATTAGCCAATGAATTATTATTTTAGTTTTTTTTTTTATCAGACAAAGCATATTCTGGGCATAAAAGCTGCTGCAGCTGAATACAACTGATTATTATATGCTCAGTGATATTGTATCATTGATCATTATGAATGTTCTATATCAAAGATGAACTGTCAGGTTACCTAGATAATTGTAATTAGTCTCATACACTTCTTATAAATTCTAAGGTAGCTATGGAAATGCTCCTGTGGCTCAGGAGAGGTGGAAACCATTGGATACATACTCCTTCGATGTTCCTTTGACAGAGCCATTTGGAAAAACCATATCCTTCCCATAATTGATAGATATCCTGGTTGTTCGGAAAGTATCTATCTCCAGTGGCTATTTAAGGATGAGCAGGCAGAGATCACGGCACAAGTGGCCAGATTCTGTGCAGCAGCATTGGGGATTCGCCAGAAACATAGTCATTTTAGATCTTTTTAATAATCTTTTAAAATTTATTTTATTACGTGCTTTATCCAGTTTTAGACTACACTCATTGTATTTTTAGTGTCAGGTCAGTATGATTAAGTTTTTTGAAGATAGCTTGTTTTTGATATACTGCCTGTAAAACTAGGCAGACCTTGGTCGCCCATTGATTGCATCATTGTGTTGCATTGCTATGTCCTCTTGTGATGGCTCTGTCTAGTTTTGTTTTATTTGGATGTTTGATTTATCCTTTGGCTGTAATAATAAAATTATATGGAAATGTGTAAAAATGTATATTTAGTTGATATTTTTATGACAGTGTTCAAAGAATATAAAAATAAACATAGAAAAAATAGATTAGCTGCTCCAAAATATTATATTACAAGCAAGTGCAAAGGAAGCGTGAGAACAAGTTCAATTTTTGTGGATATATGTTCTGCAAGTTTCAGTTTAGCCCATATAAGAAATCAAACTAATATCTGCACACAAGCTTCACTGTAGATGGCAATCTTACTATTCTTTTACTATTGCTCAGGCTACTAGTATTTTTATATGTGGTACTATTGCCCTCTAATGGTTAATGATTTGTTAAAGTTAAAAAAAAAATCATTCATTTAAATATATTATGCATTTTTTCACTTTATTGGCATTTTCCAGAGGATACCCCAGGTTTTTAGAAGACTTACATTTCCAAAATGGCCAAAATTGTTTCATTCATAATTGATTTTAAAAGACAAAGCATTATTTAATTTCTCCTTCAGAGAAATGTTATCTAGATAGATAAGTAATGTCTATGTTGGATCCTGTAGGCAGGGAAAGTGCAGAGAAATCATAAAATGGCATGGGCAAAGCATTGATAATCAGTTGTAAGAGAGGTGATTGGAACTTGCAATTTGGTTACTATGGAGAAAGGAAAATAGGCTAGCTTTCCTTTCAGTTTCCAACCTGAGGACGTCAGAGTAAAGGGATGTTTCTGGAGGAAGGCAAAGAACATATCTGATCAAACATGTGTACGAGATTCTATTAAGATTTACCTTGTGGCAATAAGAGTGGCAAATCAGCTGCAGGAAATATGATAGATGGCAGAGATATAGTCCTGAATAAAACAGTGTCAAGTGTGTTTAAGAGAGATCTGGTTAAAGAGATGACATCATCTATCCCTACTCCTTCTGCCATGTTATTTCAGTGTTTCTCAAAATTTGTATCTCTGTTATTGGTATTGCATCAGTTGAAAGTGTTACATTATTTGGACACAAAGATAGTATTCTATCTTTTCTCGTATGTAGTTTTCCTCTATATGGATAGAATGTGTGCAGACGAATGTTATTAACTGTATACTCAATCCTTGTCTCTCTAGTTTTCACCAATGTTTGATAAAATAAATTGTAGTAACTTTCTGGGGCTATCTAGAAGGGTTTGATTTAATTTTCCCTTTGGTCTACCTGGATAATTTCCTTAATTATCAGCTACAACTTGGTTCAAAGATGATTACTGCAGCAAGGAATGCTTTTGCATTTTTAAGTTTAGTATTCCAGCTGTATCCCTTTCTGGGTCCATGAGATTTGGTGACTGTAAGCCACATCTTGTTGTACCCATCTTACAACACGCTCTATATGTGATGCTTCACTTGAAAAATGTATGTTTGATGTAGAATCTGAATTCTCTATAATGTAATTAAGTTTATGGCTCCTGTACTTTAAAAAATATATGAAGCAATCTTCTTGCTAAATCCAGATTTGATTAATCCCTGGATGGGGAAGTAATGTATACTATAATTAAGCATACAGGGCTGTTAAAGGAAGATGTGTTCTTCCAGAGAGTAATCAGCATATATAAATCAGCATATTTAATTCTGATCATGTCATCTTTGCATCACGGTGTTTTCAGTAGCTCCACATTATGGTATTCCCCTCATTAGTACCATTGTCATTAAAATCGTGCTAATCTCTATTTAAAAAGGCAAAATTTCCTAAACATCTTTTCCTGTGAGAGAAAACACCCAATCTTTCTGGCAACGTTAAGCAGGGCGTTTGTGCACCCTTTCGAAAGTGATTAAGAAAGAGCCCAGTACTCTCTGCTATTCAACAAATTAGCTCAACTTTGTTCAGACTTTGACAAAAGCCTGGAAAATAAATGGCTTTATTGAAAAATAGAGATGTGCTTGTTCTCACATGGGATTGAAAGCACTTATGAAGCCTATACTTACTCCCAAACAGTAAAACTTTCAGTCTAGGTTAACAGTAAAATTATTGATTCAGAAATAGATGGCTTGTTTACATATTTTAATGTAAATGATTTGGCACATATACTTCCTGAATTTTAGAATGTTTTTGTCAGCTTAGATCTCCAGTTGGATTTCATGATAACCAAATCATTTGAATTTGAATATTTTGTCCTCTTTTTATGGCAAACCATAGAAGAGCAATATAATATTTCTTTATTCCCTCTTTCTTCTCTTTAAAATTAACCTCCATTTTATCTACTTCCATTTCTTCTGGGCTCTGAAATGAAAACATATGAAAGTTTAAAAATGCAATAATATAAAATCTGAAAGTTATAGAGTCAAGGTGTTCTACAACAAACCATAGATCATGACATTAATAATATAATCTGGATTCCTAGCTGTTAGTATATCTTATATTAAAAAATGGGGCTTCACGAACATGAAGAAAGCAATTATTTGAAGCTGCCATATCTTAATGGACTTACTTCATCTATTACTTGCATTATCCACATTTACTTGTAAAGTACAGTAACTCTTCCTTAGTCAAGTTTTAATTATTGATTTATATAAAGAAGGACTACAGACAAGGCTGATCTGTAGCTAGACTTTAGATAGCATTGTATTTCATGAATTTACTCCTTTTCCATTAGCAATAGGAAAAAAAAATATTTTGATCTCTTAAAAATTTTTCTCCATATTCTTGATTGCTTCATTTTTAACACTTGCAGTATATTACTATCACCTTATAAATACCTGAATGCATTTTTTCAGGTTTAGTATATATTTTAGAATGCGGGCTTCTTTTTCTCCAGGCTGGTATATTATACGCCGAAGCACACCTCTCTTTAAAGAAAAAGAAAGAAAAGAAATAGTTTTAATTTTTCTCTTTTATAACTTTGACTCTGTCATTCTCCTTAAGCAAATGTAGCAGAATTGTTACTATAATATTTTCTGATATTACATAATAAAAAATCCTATTGAAAACTAGCTTAAATTCTATAAGAAAATGTATTCTCTATTTAACCTGAATTTGTGAACAAGATTTTTGAAGAAATCTTCTTGTGTATTTAATTCATTTATTTTAGTGCATTTTTGGTTAGATATATATTTTGTCTATTCTTCAGGAACCAAAATGCATTAAAATAAACGAATTAAGTAGACGGGGATCTCCTTTCCTTTTATCTCTACAATGTGTGATATGGATTGAGTTGAGAGAGAGTGACTGGTCCAAACTCCAAACCTACATTAATTGGTTTCTGTCTCAGGGTTACAAATCTGAGCTGGAAACATCAGGATGATATCTAGATGACAGCAAAGACATGGTGAACATTTTAAGCTTTTAACTTCTAGTAGTAATTTGGATTTTGTAGCACAAATCATTTTTTAAAATACTTTTTTTATGTTACAAAGCTATAAATGAAATATTTTTAAAATAGAAAATATGTGAATACAATTTAAACAATTCAAACGAGAATGTACATTTACAAGGAAATGAAAGTATTCCAGATTTCTTTATATTATTCAAAGCTATTTTTATGAAATATTTACATTGGTGATGATATAAGATGGCTGGTTTAGCTTCTGTAAAAAACTATTGAAATCTACTGAAAATGAAAGGCTGCTATGGCATCCAGATTAAACACAGAACATAAAAGCTTTACTGAACATGTTGATAACTAGCTGTTTTATGCAATTTATATTCTTTTTGTAGTCTTACAAAAATCATGAAAGTTTCATTAATAATTAAGAGTAACATACTTTTTGCCCATTTTATTTTTTTAAAAAAAATTCTTCCATTTTTAAATAAGGGTGTTTTAAATCAGCAATTGTTCATGAGAGTTCAAATCAAATCAAAATTTCTTTCCCAGCAGTGACCCAAACCAACTACAGTATTCAAAATATCATGGAAGCTTTATTCTAATTGGAACCAAGCACTTGCCAGGATTTCAAGGATGCCAAGTAATAATTCTCTAGTACAGCCTTCAGTATTAGCTTTTTTTGAAAAATATATAGGAAGGCACATTTTAAAATATGGTGTATAAATAAAATTCATTAAGTGTGAAAAAATGTAAAGCATGTTGTGCTACTGCACTAAGATTGAACAAAAAAGCACAACAAATAAACCAAATGCAGCATAAAATATTAGAAAAATAAATCTGTAGCATTGATAATGTTTATTAAGAAATTACTACATTTCAGTATACAAAATAACAAATATTAAATTTAATATAAAGGTTATTACAACATTAAAACAGAATTGTGATATAAAGTATGAATGCAACAAAAACTATTTGAAAATCTTCTTCAAACAATAAAATATCTTCCTCTGAAAAGTTTGGTTTTAATTTTATTAATAATATTTGGAGCAACCAATTTAACAAAGTGAAATAACAATTTCTAGAAATATCAAAATATCTTAAATAACATGGAATATATTTTTCTAGTTTGTACAAGATAAAACTACCAGCTTTAGGAAGACACTTCTCAGAAGGGATGATATTGCTGAGAATTACAGAATATAAACCTCTAAAAGCTCATAATAAGATTCAATTTTGGTGTTATGGACTGCTACAGAGAAAATGTAAATATTTTTTTTCCTGGAAGTGACAAAAGTAGAGTATGTTATAATGAGTCTGAAGTGTCCCAGTCCTCTATTACTAATCCTTTATGCTATCTACATATTTTTTTCCTTTTAAATGTTATTTGCCATTTTTGATCTTTTTTAAAAAAAGATAAAAAAATAAAACTAGTAAATGAAATAACAAAATGAACAGGGAGATTAGAAGCATGACAGAATTAAGATTAAAATTACATTGTGAAAATAAATATATAATAAATATATAATAAATAAATAATAATATAAATAAATAAATAATAACAAGGCAAGAGGTGATAAATCTGAACTAAAACTTCCCCTGTATTCTTTTATTTCTAGAAAAAAGATGATTAACATCAATGAAAAGTAATTCTCAACATCTCTACATGAATTAAAGAAGAGGAAAGAATTTTGCAGCTGAGTTTATTTAAGTTATGTCTGATTTATTTAATCCTGGCTTGTGGACTAAGCCACAGGCCATAGTTTGCAAACCATAACTGTTGCATTTACATGATACACTAAGGCAGGGGTGTCAAACTGCCGGCTCACAGGCCAGTTGCATCATATGGAGGCCACACCCACCCCAGCTCTAGCAATGTAAAAAAAGTTGCGATATGTCGCGACACGTCACATGATGTGGTGAGTTTGACACCCGTGCACTAAGGATTGGGGCAAATATTTCATATACTAACATTTAGACACAAATCATAATAACTAGAGCAAGAAACAGAATTAATGACATATTAATGTAAAGTGAGATTTCAAAATAATCACAAACAATATTAAAAAATAGTAATGACTGCTACAGTTTGCCTTCTTAGTAAATATACTTCAGTGAATAGCACTTACAGTTAGGCATTTTTAATAGAAAATTAACATAACAGCAGAATTTTTAAATGACCAGTTTCTTGTAACCTCATTCCTCATTGCAAAAACTTAATTGCAGAGACATTGTATAAAACTGGAATCATATTCATTTAAGTAACAATTTACTTAAATTATTTTAGATAAATCTTTCTCAAAATTAGTTCCAAAAACAATTTATGCAGTTAATAAAATTTAAATGTCATTGTTTCAAATTCATGTACAAAACAACAGACAGAAGATAAGACTGTTACTAATGAAACAATACTATTATTTAATTAGCATACCATCTCATTAGAAAAAAAACTGACAGTCATTTCAGAAAGAGATCTTATGAAGCTAAATGCTCACCTGTAGATAAATTCATTTTGGATTCTTTGGCTACACCAATTTTAGCATAAGTGAGATTTTGTGACCTTCCAGCCATTGGAGCACTCAAGGAAATACTTCTCCCGTTGGCTCTCTGAGAAGGAACATAAGAGGCATTCTCAGCATTCTTGATTTGATCATTTTGTTGGCAATTCCCTTTACTTTTAGAGTTTGAAGTATGCATTGCTGCAAGAGATAATAAAACAATCAATATTGCCCCCCAACATGTAAGAAGCTACTCGGGGCTCAACATATACTGCAAGGATGGGAAATGCATTCCAATTTAGTCCTCCATGAACCTACAACAGATCAGCACTTTGTGGAGGACTATAAATTGTCCATCGCTCATACGAAAAAATAAATTAAACACTGGGTCTTAATAGAGAGCTCCATCTTATATCTTATGATGGAAAATAGTAAAATAGGGCAGACCGTGCTATTTGAAATGATTCAAACAGTTCCTCTGAAATACCTTTTGCTGTCAAAGGGGTAGGCAGATTTTTGGAGTCCTCAGATAACCATTTCTTTTTCTTTACTCCCTTAAAATGATGCTTCTTGATGCTTTCTGTATGGCTGGTAGCTAAAAAAAAAAGTCAGGATTGTGTTGTTCCACAGTGATGATTAGAAAGGAAGCCAATAGATCTACCCACTCCACTAAGCCATTGTTTTACATGATTTGGTGAATAAACCACTCTAGTAGGCTTATGCAACGTATTAAGCTTCAAAGAAATCATGGTTTGGCTTATGTGGCTTGGCACATAAGGATTATTTGCGGCCTCTGTTCCCATGTTAGCTCATGATCCAAGAATTCTATTCATAATTTTAACAATCTTTAAACACTCTTCCAAGAAATATAATGCTCTGATATTTATAGCATCAATATTAAATGCATATTTTTTATTTATAGGTATTGTCTTAGTGGTTGTTTTGACTATTGCTATTCAGTTCCAGTTGCCAAACTGGCAAATAAAATGACCTACAAATACAAAAATTCCTAGCAGAGTCTGAATGTTCTTAAACTGACAAAAACAGTTCACCCTGGAGCAAGGTCAAATCATTGCTAATAGCTGCAAGTATAAAAAAAGATATATATCTGCCCATTAATTGTTCTACTTAATGGCTAATAAGTATACATGTTTCCTTCCAAAAAAGGCAAAGGCATCCAGAAGTCAGTATAACTAAGCACTTGCTCAAATCAGTATTGAACAGAGGACTTACTGTCAATCTTTAGAGCTCTCCAATTTTATTGCTATTATAATAGTAGTTCAATTGTTACTTTTCTTTAGCATTTTTATATATTTCACCCAAGTATATGAGCAGTGGCTGGAGCAAACAAAAGCAGAAGCAGTTTCCATTTCCCTTAATATTAGCACACAAGTGACCAGGGATTATAGTGAGCTAATGATGATGCAAGTTGGATAAAACAAAATTTATATTTGTGTCTTAGCTAAGTTAGCCTTATTTGGGGCTTATTCTACAATATTCCTAAAATGGGGCACAATTGGAAGATCTGAAAGGCCTGATTGGAGATAGATCAACCCGGAGTTCTATCTATAGAGTTGATTTGATAGCACATACAGCAATTAGTTAAACCTAATTATACTAGTACAGTACTATGATAAACTACCACGAACTGTAAGAGAAGCTTGCCAAAAATCCCCTCCAATATTAAAGCAGAAGTGTTTTTAAGAACAACATAGTAATGATTGCCATTCTGAAAGAGCATTCCTTCTGTGGAAGTGTCATATCCTCATCCAGTGATACAATGCCACCAGCATGAGAATATATCAAGATGGTTCCCCAATTATGGCATCACAAAAGCAATACATGGCTCAAATCACCTTTTTGAGTGGGATCTAATCTTTTTTTCAATACTTCTAAACTTAGCAATTTCTATGGGATATATTTTAGTAAAAGCCCTTGCCAGAATGTTTTAAGAAAGCACACACATTTACTTTCCCATTGAGAAAAAGAAACATGAGACATAAGTTCTGAATACCTTTAACGTTTAAACACTTTAGCATGGTAAATTGTTTCTCTCCATTGAACATTTTGTTTTGTATCCCTTCAACAAATATATTTCTTTGTGACAAGTAACAATCACCTCCTACAGAGAAACAGGTATATCACAGAATTATCAGGGAAAATGTAACAATAACAAGAAACATACAAAAGAAATAAATAAACAAAAAGTATTCAAGATGTCTGCATTTTCCCCTTTAAATGGAAAAGCAACGAATGGCAAAATATGCACATGAAACAAAGTTGTTTAAACTAGCAAAATTAAATATAGTTCAATAGTATGACCATGAATGGATTTTATGCAAAGCCCAAATGGAAATAATTCTTCCTTGTGCTGGAATCATTGTGCTGATATTGCAAACCTGTAAGGAGATGTTTTATTGTTTCCTTTCAAAGGCCTTCTGCTTATTTTAAACAAACTATAAACACGTGCCTCATCTAACATGAAAGGAAGAGGTTGGAACATTTTGGAATCAATAGCCATAGTCAGTTGATATTGCACCTAAAATTCTCAGCATAGAGCCATAAGTTAAGCGTCATTTGCCACCATCACTCAAATGATGCTATTTCTTTGCTGCAATTGTAAATTCAGAAGAATTGCCTACAAGGAGGAAACAACCCACCTCACAAGGTTTTTCTTTTGGGTAAAATAAGAGGTGAGAACATTATGTACACTGCTTTGAGTTATACAGAAATAAAGGGAGGATGTAAATCTAATCATCATATAAGAACAATAGAATAACATAAAGTTGTCCTAATAAAGCAGGAACTTGGCTTATAGGGAAGCCAATGTACATATAGCTGTATACTTTATGTAGCCTTCTCTTTACAAACAACCACAGTGAAGGTTTACAAAGGGCTGACATCCAAAAGCAAGAACAAGAAGTGACATGAAGCTTATCAGGAATGCTCACATATTAGACATTTGGGGCATTGCATCTGAAAGGGGCTAAAGTTTATTTTATAACTTTATTGTTTGACTGGGAAATAACACCGCAGTACTGTAGTTACTGACTCCATACAAAGCACATGAGGACTTAGATGCTTGAAAATAATTGAATGGACATTCTTCATCTCCATATTCTTTTTTTCTTACAGATGATTACACCAATATCCTTTCTCGGGGCTCTTATTTCTCAAAGATCTATTCAGCAGCTTCTCCCAACCTGCCACCCAATATTATCTTGCTTGTTCTGATGGAGAATCCTTTTCTGTTGTTCTGAAACCTGCCACATCTCTATTCAGGAGCAACAGTGCAGGTGATTTTATAATATGTTGATTCAAATCCCAAGTCCCTCTCCCTCTCCCTCTTTGTCTCTATTGTTGGTGGTTTCAACAGAGAAAAGGTACAAAAATTGCAGCCTGAGAAGGTAAATGTAGCTTGCAAACAATCCCAAAACTTCTTTAAATAAAATTAAATAAAGACAGATGGCATTGCTTCATTAAATTGGAAAATGAAAAAAGACTGAGCACAGTTTCTGCAAACTAGGTAGTTTGTGTGTGTGTATGTGTGTGGGTGTGTATCTGAATGCAGGTTTCTGCACACTTATCATTGTGAGTTATAAGAATTTAAATGTAGAAATTGTATTTTAAATAATTACCTCCATTTTCAAAGGCACTAAGTTCAGATTTAGAGCAACTGTCTACTGAGGCTGTTATTTTTGTTTGCCTTTCTATAATGTTAAACTTTGATGGAACTGCAACACCATCACCTAGAATGGTGAAAGAGAAAATTTGCATATAATAGGAATAGTTTTCTGTAGGGACAGCTATTATCATAGCATTAGCTACTGTTCTATAAGCTTTAGACCCCATCTACTGGCAATATGGGGATCATAAATATGAATTACTGAGTTCTACTTATCATTTTTTTTCTATACTCAGATGAATTTTCTTAGGAACAATTAGTAAAATATGACTAATGAATAATATTTTACCTAATTTCATGACTGAAATATCTGAAAAAAATGAACATAATCATAATGTAAAGTGTTTTTAATACTTTAAAAAGCCATCGTAGCACTTTTGTACACGTAACTAATTGCATAATGCTCAATTGAAATTGGAGTAAGGTTAGGTTCACATATTATAGTAAATTGTAATAAGACTAATATAACTTTGCATCAACCCATCTAAATATTCAATATACTTTAACTAGACAAACAAAAAGACTATGTTGTATTTCTTTTTTACATACAACGATTCATAGGAAGCTGTCTTACACGAGATCATATTATTTATTCATGTAATTCAGAATCGGAACACTAAAACATGTTGACTATCAAGTCCCCTTTTCTGGCCTCTAGAACCCAATAGTCAGAAGGTCCCAAGCCTAATAGACAGGAGGCTCCAAATCACTTTTCAAATCCCCATCTCTAATCCTCTCCTCCACACACACACACAAAAAAAAAAAATCAGCCCATTTTGGGCAGTATCCACTTATTCTGAAATAACATGCTGTGCAAAGCCTGCTATAAAGCTGAAATAAGTTACACTCTTGGCACAACCCAATATTTTCAACTCTGACTAGCAGCAGATTTCTATACTTAACACAGGTTTCTACTCAGCTAACTGGCAAATTCCCCATTGTGACATCTTTTGGCACTTTTAGTTGGCAACTCCAGAGATTGAACTTGGATTCTATCTCTAAACAATGTTAATCAAGATTTTTAACAATGAATATTTCTTATCTTTAAAAAGATAAAACATTTAAGTTTCAAAATTAAAAACTTCAGTTGTTCTATTCCTTGCCTTCTTGTAATTCTCTGCATGTTTCCATAGGTTTAATGAGCTCATTCTCCAGTACTGAAGAATTTTTTGTTAAATGATTTTCTTGAGAAGTCTGAATTCTATAATATTCTCCTGTTTCATCCACAAAAAGACAAAAGAAAAAAAATGCAGTTGTTATATCAGCTAAAAAAATGCACCAATGTTCTTAGCTGATATAACAATAAGATTCTTACCAGATTTATAGCACATTTCCTTTATTGCCTTTTCTTCTTCTATATCTTCTGGTGTCTTTGACAATAAATAAGATGCATCTGTATGGAGCAATTTTAAAAGTTATTTCTAATAAAATTCTTTCCAGGCTTTTTCCTGTGCCATATAAAGAAAATCTGAATTGCATTTATATTTATAATACAAAATAAAATCTTTCTTTTATTGACTGAATAGAATTGTTTTAAAAGGAAAAGCTAGATTATTTTTTTCTAAAGAATTCCTATTCTCCACTTTCATTCTTTCCTTCCCAACTGGACATAGGGAAAAAGTAGGTAAAGAGGCTCAGGACATTTTACTGTGGGGCAAGTATTGAATTTATAAGTTTGAAAAAGGGCCACATCTGGCCAAAGTTGCAGAGGAAAATATTCCAGAAAAAAAATCCCTCAAGTGAGAAAAATCTGCTCCTATGGAGAAGGAGATATACACTGGGCTGGTATGTTACTAACTGTTCCATTCTAGGCCCCATTCTCTCTGAGTCACATGTCCCAAAACAGATTGTATGCAGTGGGCCTTAATCTTTCCACTGCACACATAGAAACAAAGGCACAATGCAAATGGAAAGCAAAAGCACATGCATGAGCCATGTTATTTTGTTACATGGAAGAACACAGAGATCTTCTTAATGGCCATTGCTGAGAAGAACTTGGAAATAATTCCAGAATCTATGCTTTCTATGCTTTCTCTTCCTTCTTAGTCTTTCCATCTCAACAGAATGTTGGAGAGAATATGTAAAAGGTCTTGAGATTCTGTCCATCAGTTGAATAAGTCTCTGAAAGCTAGTAAAAGAGGGCCAAATGTGGATTAATGGGACAAAATGACAAAAGAAAGTTCAAAGTAAAAAAAAAGGATAAATTTTCCTGAGGATTCTGGACAAAATATAAAACTTTTTTTCTTTTAACGACCCTGTACTTCCTTGCATCAAAGTCGGGTGACTGAATGGAGTTGAACCTTTACTGGCCAGATGCCCTTCCTGACACCTATGAGTTCACAGCAGACAATTACTCATTGCGCCCAGAGAGAGAAATATCTGCAGCTACCTAGGGTTGAACTCACAGCCTCCTGAATGTGAGATGAGAGCTCCACTTCTAAGCCACTGAGCCGCTCACAAAATATAAAACAATAATAATAGAAAAATCCTTATGCAACCCTTCAGAGAGCACTTGGGGAGTTATTTCAGAATGCTTCATTCTGAGTTCCATTCTAAGTTATCTTCTCTCAGGTTGGGGTTCAGTTTTCATCTCTTTCTAAAACACAGCATGTAGATAAACATGAATGTCTGAAAAATATTTACATTTTTCTTCTTGTTCTTCCTCTTCTTCATCCTCAAGATTGATGGTAATAATAAGTGGAGGATGAATAGGCCTTAATGAATTCTCCTGACCTTTTGTGGAATCTTGATTTTGAGCAGCATGCAAAATTCCTTCCTGAACTTCCCCTTGCAATGTAGAATCTATTGGAAGTAACTTTAAATTCAGTATAAAACTTTTGAATTGAGACTTTGAAGTGTTTAGCAGACTCACAAAAGTCAAAACAAAATTTGATAATTATATTTAGAATGTATTTGATCACCTGAACCACTAACCAAATAAATAAATTGATTAACTTAATATTATGTAATCCTATTCACAATGACATAGGAGAAAATTTTTACATGTTCAGTTGGAATAACTTTCTATTAAGCACCTGTAGGATTTCAGCCTTGGTTCATTAAGTGTTCCAGACAGTTAATACATATTATTCTAACTGGCTTCAGTGAAATTTATTGTGTGATATGTTTATGGCAACAGCAAAGAAAATAAACTCTGAAAGAAAAACATGCCTTGAAGATGCTATTCACTCCCCAAAGTATACAAAATTAATTGCATATCGCAAAAGGGCAACATAAAATGAAAGATCATGCTAAGCATTGGCTTTCAACTATGTTCTGACTAATCATGCATTGTACTAATCTATAATCCATGGTTTATAACTCATAATGACTAGATCCATGATAAAGCCCCCAACTAAATGAACAAAGCCATATTATTAATATTGTAAGGAGTAAAAGGTCTATTGCCTTAGTGGTCAATTATTTCTTGTCTGAAAGGAAAAGTCCTGAATTTAAGATGATCTTAAATTCATAAAAAAGGAGTAAACCAAACTCACCCATACGTAAAAAAATCCTGTGCAATGGCCAGATTCCTCATTTATAAATTTAGAATTCCTGTTTTTAGCTAAAAGCAATCCTCAAATTATATACTCATAAACATAATGTAAAATATAAAAACACCTTCGAGTCCAGCTTAGCTCCTGGGTTGACTTTGTCTTCTTGAAATATTTTTCAATTTCCCATTCAACCCTATAATTTCCCTATAATCAACCATCAAAACATTAATTGCCTCCAGTTCTGATTTTTCTTTGGAGCCCAGAGATAGACAAAAATAGATATACATGCAGACAAAATGCAACCAAATGATTATAATAGCATAAAATATAATAATTAAATGACTTGTAAGGGTAGTCCTTATTTAGCAACCACATTTGGTTCTAGCAACTCAATTGTTAAATGGTCCCTAAGTGAAAATCATGTGACCACACTGTGCTTATGATTTTACACTGGCTTTCCTTTTCTTACAGCATCAGAAGAATATACTCGCAAATAGCTGAGTGTGCCCAATTGGGTTTCCAGAACTCAACTCATGAGGAAGCTAGATGGAAGGGCAAATCTTGTTCCTCACTCCCTTGTCCCTCGGAGTATTCACCCCAGTCCTGGGATAATTAGCAAGAAAAGAATTTTTTTTTTTAAAGAAATACATTCTCTGAAGAGAAAGGAACTGCAAGAGAATAAGCAAGCATACAGTGGGAATATATATAAAAAGGAATGCATTGTTTGTCCAGCCCACTTGCGGATGTGAGCTGCTTAGGAAACAAACAACAGCCTTTAGTGAGAACCTGATTAGGGTCTTCTGATTGTCAGGCAGCGGCACCAGTCAGCCTGAGGGTTCTAATCAACTTATTAAGACTAGAGAGCTAAGCTTGTTAACTTGTGGTTACGCTTTTTGGAGATACATTGTTCTGTGGAGAAAAGCATCTGAGGAAGAGATTACTTCTTTAGGCAATCTATCCTGTGCCTCAGGCACAGGACAATGCATACTAATTCTGCAGAACAAGGCATACCTGCCCAGAGTCACTAAGTTGATAGACAGCTACAGAAATTAATTAAGTAAATAAAATAAACTGACTTTAATAATGAATGCATGACAGAGAGAGAGAGAGAGAGAGAGATGCTGCAAAACTTATAAATGCAGACATTTGTCACAAAATTAGTTTTTCATCAGCATCGTAATATTCTCTAATATTTCAGGCCGTGTCATAAATTTGACAACTTTAACAGCTCAATCATTTATGTATTAAATTTGTAGGCTGCTGGACTCCCAATGACACTTGGTGGTTCACAAGTAAAACTACTAGAGCCAAAATAAATAAATAAATCATACAATTAGTTAAAACTATAGCAGAAAAAGATATCTGTGAAAAGAACAGTTCCATAGCAAAAAAAGAACAGAGCTAGAACCAAAAAATAATAATTAAAATATATTGCCTGTAAAGCACATCTTCAAAATTAATTGATTTCCTATCTTCATATAAGCTGCTTTTTACATACACAATACATGACCACCCATAGAATCACAGAAACCTGAATTCTTTCTTTTGAGAAGAGACAAAAACAAAGGAAGAAACATATGGAAGAGAAGGAGGAGGTCTAAAGAACCAGGACGTCGGTGGTATGAGAGAAGGGAGTACAGGTAATCCCTTGACTTATGATCACAATTGAGCCCAAAATTTTTGTTGCTAAGTGAGACAGTTAAGTGAGTTTTGTCCCATTTTACAACCTTTCTTGCCACAGTTGTTAAGTGCTAGACTGCAGTTGTTAAGTTAGTATACAGTTGTTAAGTGAATCTGGCTTGCACATTGATTTGCTTGTCAGAAGGTTGCAAAAGGTGATCACATGATCCCAGAACACTGCAACCATCATAAATAGGAACCTGTTGTCAAGCGTCCACATTCTGAATACATGACTATGGAGATGCTGCAATGGTTGTAACTGTGACAAACAATCGTAAGCCAATTTTTTCAGTGTTATTGCAACTTCGAACAATCATTAAATGAATGGCTGTAAGTTGAGGACTATCTTTAGTAGGAAACTAAAGGTAGGAACTAAATTAACGGTGTGGAGATGAGGCAAAAAGAAGGCATAAAGAGACAGCAGAGGGAAAGAATTACAACACCAAATCTAAATTCCCATATTCTTAGTAGGTTAACCTGCAAGTACATCCTTAGAAGGGAACTCTTATTCCTAGGGAAAGCAATGTAACACCCTCTCCCTAATCAAAACATGAGACTCTTCTCATCAAGTAAATATGGCACTATTTTGCAATCAGTTTCCTGAAATGTTTGCACACAATTAATATATGCATCAAATCTTTCCTTTTCTTAAGCTTCTACAACTCTGGAAAATCCTAAATCTTTTGCCTTTATTGAAATCTTAACATGCTTTATTTAGGCAGGGGTTTTCTTCTCCACCATTTTCCTACCTAGCTAAAACTAGCATGGAGGAAATGACTTTTCTTTCTAAAACACAGTTCACATAGATTCCATTGAGAATAATAGTAAAAAAAAAACACCTCTCATGCAATTTGCAGAAGAGATTTATGACATATTCCATATGTAGATCTTTCTTCTAATACTCAATTGCCTTTTTTATTAAAGCACAACTTTTCCTCATGTTATTTTTTTCCATACAGAAAATAACATTATATTGGAACCATACTTTTAATATTGCCATAAAATGCAACATTTATCTTTTCAACATTTTATAAACATTTATACCATTTTTTTAAAAGACAAACAAGAAGTTCCTGCATTATGCAGTACATCAGTTATTCATATTGCCTCTCAAGCCCACTTTCTCTGAATATTATACAGGAAAGAGTGCTGAATACTTAACGTATCCTTGCAATACTGTTTTTCTGCATAAATGTTTGGAGAACTGTACCAGAGCAGGCAAAATTAGTTTAAGCATCCTAGAACCCTGGTTGATGGGTATGAATCAGATAAGTGCTTCTCAAACTTTTTTCTTCATTACTCAAAATTACAGATCAGAAAGTCTTTTTTTTTTCAAAGATAATTTTTATTAAGTTTTTTAAAATTTTACAAAAACAAAAACAAAACAATCTTCCCCCCCACCTCCCCAACCCTCCCATTCCCACCCGCGATCTTCCCAGAGCTGAATATAGGCTTAATTAAAATTTGACCAAAAAAACTAAGAAAAAAATATAAACCATAATTGAGTCTAGCATTAGTTAAAAATCTAAATACATTAATTAGAAAAATTATAAAATAATTAACAATAGTATATATATAAAAAAACAAAAAATAAATGTTTAACAAAGAAAAGAATAGAGGAAGAGAAAAAAAAATAAAAAAGGGAAAAAAGAAGAAAAAAAAAGAAAAAAAGAGAAACAAAAGAAACAAAATATTCCATTTTAAATATAAATTATTAAAAAACTAAATAATATTTTTTATATCCAACTTATGTTGTATAAAATCTATCCATTTTTTCCATACCACAACATACTTCTCTTGCGATTGATCCTTCAAGAAAGCCGAAATCTTTGCCATTTCCGCCAGGTAAGAAACTTTGAGAAACCACTCTTGCAAAGTAGGCAAAGATTCCTTCTTCCAACATTGCCCTACTAACAACCTTGCGACTGTAATTAAATTTAACATCAATGTAATCTCCTTGGTATCACAATCAATAACAATACCTAACAAAAACAATTGTGGGGTAAATTTTACCCTCCTTCTAAAAATTCTTTGAATATTCCACCATATCTTAATCCAAAAGGCTTTTATATTTTTACACGACCACCAGATATGATAATAAGTAGCATCCAGACATCCACATCTCCAACATTTAGGCTGTAAGTCAGGATACATACGAGACATTTTTTGTGGATCAAGGTGCCATCTGTAAAACATTTTGTAAAAATTCTCCCTTAAATTCTGAGCTTGTGTAAATTTAACATTTCTCACCCAAATAGTTTCCCAAGTATCTAATAGAACTGGTTCACCAAAATTTTGTGCCCATTTAATCATACATTCTTTAACTAATTCTGCTTCTGAGTCCAATTCTACTAACACCCCATAAATTCTCTTAATGTGAGTTCGTCTTTGATCTTTTACTTGTTTAAAAAAATTCTCATCTTCTCTAAGCAAACCCACATTACAATCTACCTTCCATCTATCCACAATTTGTCTGTATTGAAACCATGAATATATAATATTTTCTTGTGCTAGATCTTCCAAAGATTTTAACTGCCAATTTTTACCATCCCATCTAAGTAATTGTGCATAAGAAACACTATCCATCTTAACTCCTCTCCTTATCCCCTCTATCGCGTGCCATGG